GGGGGGGGGGGGGGGGGGGTGAGAGAGAGAGAGAGATTTCACTGGGACAGGACGCCACTTCCATGCTAGCTAAGTGTGTGTGTGAGTGAGAGAGAGAGAGAGAGATTTCACTGGGACAGGCAGACAGAAGTGTCCACTTAAGGCTTTCTGAAGCTAAATCAGCAGATAAGCCAGTAATGTCCCTCCATTCCTTCATTGCTGTTTAAGAGGTTGAACTAATGAGAGAGGCTTTTGTTTTCTTGATGGGCTGATAAACTTTATCAAGCCCTGCTGGCTTGACTGCAGTTTGATGCAGACAGTATGAAGAAGCAGGGAACAGGAAACTGAAAAGCTCAGTATCATCAACAGATGCATGCACTCCACATAAGCAGCCCTGCCTCCCCTGGGGTGGGATCTGGCAAAACTCCTGTCCCTTGAGCAACAAGCCAGGAAAAGCCTGGTGAGGGCTGCTTCCCCCTTCCCATCCAGGCACACCCCAGCTGGGGACTGTGCATGCAGGGTAGGGTTTAAACCCCTCCCCAATCAAAGCAACCTGCTGGAACCTGGCCATGCCCCCCTCAGCTCAGCACTCTGAAAGGGAAGGGAGGGCTTGCTCAAGCACCCCCCTGGCTTCTAGCCTGAGCCACTGCAGGCATGTGGCTGCACTTCTTGATTCAAAATGAATGTCTATCCACTTGCAAATCAGTTCAAGCTCTGCAAGTTAGACTAACCTGCAAAGATTGAATCAATTCAGGCTCTGACTTTCTGAATGCCTGTCCCTAGCCTAGAGGGGAATAATCACTTCCCTTGACCTACTGCTAACACACTTACCAATGCACTCCAGTATTCCATTAGCCTTCTTGGCAACAAGGGCAACTTCTGGCTCAAATTCAGCTTATTGTCCACTGCAATGAACAGGTCCTTTTCTGCAGAGCTGCTGCCCAGCCAGTCAGCCCCCAACCTATACTGGTGCATGTTCTGTCCTAAGTGCAGGATTTTGCACTTGTCCTTGTTGAACCTCATGAAATTTATTTTGGCTGAATCCTCCAATTTGTCTAAGTCACTCTGAAATCTAGCCCTACCCTCCAGTGCATCTATTACTCCCCCCATCTCGGTGTCATCTGCAAATTTGCTGAGGGTGCTCTCTATGCCATCTTCCAGGTTGTTGATGAAGACATGGAACAAAACCAGCCCTAGGACTGAGCCCTGAGGCACTCCACTTGATACTGGCTGCCAACTAGACAGAGACATTGATTACTGCCCTCTGAGCCCAATTCTCCAGTCAGTTCTGTATCCATCTTACAGTCCATTCATCCAGCCCATACTACCTTAGTAGTATCACATCAGCCAACTCCCTCAGGTGTATCCGATCCAGTCCCATGGACTTGTATATGTCCAGCTTTTCTAAGTAGTCCCTAACCTGTTTTCAGCACTGAGGGCTGCTCACCTCCTCCCCAAACTGTGCTGTCCAGTGCAGGAGTCTGGGAGCTGGCCTTTCCTGTGAAGACTGAAGCAAAAAAGGCATCAAGCACTTCAGTCTTTTCTGCATCCTTTGTTACAAGGTTATCTCCCCCATTCAGTAAGGGACCCACACTTTCCCTAATCTTCCTCTTGCTACCTACATACTTGTAGAAACCCTTCTTGTTACCCTTCACATCCCTTGCTAGCTGCAACTCCAAGTCTGCTTTGGCCTTCCTGACTTCATCCCTGCGTGCCCAAGCAATACTCTTATACTCCTCCCTAGTTATTTGTTCAAGTTTCCATTTCTTATAAGCTTCCTTTTTGTAATTATTTTACTGAAGAGTTCCCTGCTAAGCCAAGCTGGTCTTCTGCCTTACTTGCTAGTCTTCCTGCATATCGGGATGGTTTGTTCCTGCACTCAGTAAGGCTTCTCTGAAGTACAGCCAGCTCACCTGAACTCCTCTCCCCCTCAGACTGGCATGGTATAACCTGCATAGGAACAAGCTCTAGCATTCTGAATTGAGGCATATTGTATGAAAACTCAATTTGAAAACATGCAGTACTACTGAACATTCACTGAACTAAAAGGCTACAGAGATGCTGCAGTACTGCAAAGTCAGAGTTTAAGGTAAAGGGAATGGAAAGAAATAAAGGGCATAAAAAAAAATCTTTTCATCTTACTGAAAAGTAGCTGCTGAAGAGTTCTGCAATACTTGTAAAAGCCACTCGGTGGTCATCATTTTGCACAATACAACAACACATTAACCTAATTCTTTTCTCCCAGACTCGGGTTGCAGTCTTCTTGACATTATAGAATAGCTGGCCTGACTGACTGCTTTCCAGGTTGCGATCTATAGCATCAGTGAGGTACAAGGTCTTTTTACCCCCAAGCGGATCAAAGACAATTACAATTGCAATGACGGTAAAGATGATGATAATCCAGCTGCAACACAGAAAAGGGGAGGGAGGAAGAGATCAGTGAATCAGTGAAATCCATGCTTCTAACATGTCAGATACCAAAGAATCCAGCTGTTATCTACTTGTCAAGAACTGATGTCTTCCATATATAAACTATATCTACCTCCACATGCCTTCACTTACTGCCATTGTGATGACAGTCCTGTGATAAGAATAACAGCACACTAAAGAGAAGTGAAACTGCCAGCCCATTTCACAAGACACCAGTTCTGAGGTCCTTTCTGAGAAAGGACTGCTCTGAAATGGCTACCTAGTCTTGTGGAAAGCTCCATATTGTATTAACAATTTCTTAAGACATTTCACCCCCTTCTTTCTATTTCTCCTTTCCACACCCTCTTCAGGTCTATCCATTTTTTATCTTTACTCCTCATATGCCCCTGGTCTGGCTTCAAGGTTTGGGCAATTAGAAAAAACTGGAAGAAGTCACCTTACTCTATCTAGCCTGATGCATGCGAATCCTCCCCCACACGCAACAAAATCCTTCTTGAAGGAGCTGTAAGGAATATTCCAGTTTTCCATGACTAGGGACTCTCCAAAGGATATTTAAAACAAATGTAAACAGTCTTTCTGGTTTCCAATAATAGTAACATTTAGTTTAGTTTACTGTTTACCTGGCAATGACTGTCCCGAAGATGGCATTTACCACAGTCTTTTCACAATGCACCCTGCTGTCTGACACCCAGATAGCACCCACAGTTGCCCACACAAATTCAGGCAAGAAGAGAAAAAGGCGAGTATAAAGCAGTTTAGGAAGAGATTTTCTTGGCCCAGGGTTAGAAATTGTCCCTGTAATCACAAAAATAAATAAATAAATAAAAAGATTAAACATCTAAAGTAAAAGAAATCTTATTGAAGACACATCAGCAGTTCTGCACTTGAATGAAATTTAGACATGTGCAAATCCAAGTTACTTCAGATTCTACAGGAATTAACCTAACCTACAGCTCATGGTGGAACCACGAGCTGTAACACATTGTGGTCTTTGGCAGCAAACATCTTTAGCATGTAAATTTTTATAAACTGGAAATATTGGTTATTTCTGTTTTTCCAAATAAGCCCATTAGCTGATTTGGTAGCTAAGAGGCTGCAGTTTAAGGCCTAGGTTTAGTAAAATAGTTGAACAGCAAATGACATGTTTATTCTCTTAAGCACATTTTAAAAACCTGACCCAAGGGTCAGAGGTGGGACCTGGAAGATCTGCACATGCTATACCCATACTACCCTGGACAACTCTACAACAGGGGCTATTTCATTCCTTAGCATGAGGGCTAGGACCAGATCTCCCCTCCCTCACACTAGTCACAGAAGACTGGTTGACCTTCAAGCACCCATTGGTACGCTTATGCCATTCACTCCCCATAAACTAGGTTTAAGAACGTCTCTTTGAGCTACACCCTGATAAATGTCTCCATTCATCCGGTACAGGAGAATCCTTTTAGACTCCTCCTGTGAGGCACAGGCATGTTCCAGAGTGTGACAACAGCTCCCCCTTGAGATGAGCTTGCTCTCCTCCTCTCCCACCTTTTTTTTTTTTAAATAGTCTATAGAAGTTATCTTTTTTCCTGCTGCTGGTGCAGCTTTCCTATTAGACAACCATTTCTTTCCCTTTTTCTTTTTTATATTAGCTTACAAGTCCCTTCATTTGTTCTGATGCGAGTGTAGCTCTGTCTTTTCATTACATCTCAGGCACACATTACATCAAGCACGTCAAGAATGTCACTGGTGGGAAAAGGAAGGGAGGGAGGGGGAAAAAGCTGTTTTAAAGGCAAATGAATTTTAAGAGCCACTTACCAATTCTGAATATTTAGTGTTACTACTTAGAAGTGACCTTTGGTAGGGTCTCCTTTCTTGAGAACTCATCTCTCAGAAGATATATTTCAGCTTCAGTTTGATCATAATCAAACCAAATCAATCCAGTTTGCTGAACAGAGATCCACCTTCACTTAGCCTGTGTTTAACTTGTTGATCTTTCTTTGCAATTCTTTCCTAAACCACTTTTGCTACACTTTTGCTCTTCTTTGGTACTTACACATAATTAGATCACTGCATTCTTGTCCCTTGCCTTAGTTTGGCCAAGTTTCAGATTTAATTTTCAATCTTCCTCAGGGAAAACCGTTTCACCAGCTCTTCTTTGGACACTAGGATGTGCCAGGGTTTAAGTCGCTAGCCTAGGACTTGGGTCTGAGACCTTGTCTGCTAGGCTTCCTGTGCGACTTTTGCTATTTCACTCAGCCTTCCTGTGCTTCAGATCCTACATGTAAACTGGGGAAAATAATCCCTACCCTCAGAACACCTCTAAAGTGACAGAGTGACTAGAAGAGTTTGTTTGGTAATGAGGTGTCTGAACAGAAAAGAGAGGAAGAACCATTATAAGCAATTCTGTTGGGGCAGATGCACCCTGAACCAGAATTAGAGCCTGCACAACATAAGTTAGCCTTCCTTCTTCAGGATGAATCTCTCCTGTTTACAGTGCCAGCGTTGTTGGGTTGGCCATGTGCTACATGACACTTCTACACAACAGCCTACCTACACCTTAAGATTCTTGCTATGTGGCACTGAATCCAACTACACAGGCCACTGCTTATAAGTGTCATTACAGAGACTCCCTATGCCTGAAGAAGGGTGACTGCACCCAAAGGCTTGCTAGGAACTTTTTTCTCCAACTACTCAGTCTAATAAAAGATATCACATCTACTTAAAGAACCTTGCCTGCCTATGTCCTGAGACCAACACAGCTACAACCAAAAACCCAGCATTATAGAGCAGATGTATTTTGCATAACTTCCTTGGGGAATTTGTCAGAAACATTAAAAATAGTGCAGGTTTCCAGGTCACTTGTTAGTGGACTAATGTTTACTAACGAACCCGGAGGGAGACGTAGCAACATGGCATGATTTCATGGTGACAGGCTTTCCTGGAGTTCTGCCATTTTTGGCTACCCCCAAGCTATGTTAAACTGTTACTGCACATGGCTAGAGCGTGCAAACAGAATTAACCTGTCTGTACTCATAGTATGAATGTCGACAGGTGGCTGTCAGGGCGCACACAGTTTTTGTACCAATGTTTTAATGGCATATTTAAGTAAAACAAAACACATACAAAAAGCTGCTGCAGGCACAGAATAACGTAGGCTCGTACCTCGCATACTGATGCACACAATGGCCGATACAGCGCATACGATGGCAGCCAAGAGGAGGAGGAGGACCAGCAGGTAGGTGTGCAGGAGTCCCCCTCCAGTGCAGTTGAACCTCTCCTTGTGAACGGAGTATAGGACAAGAACGCCGACCCACCTGCGGGGACACATACCACGGCACGTCACAGCGGGGAAGCAACAGAACAGATGCGTTGCCACAAAGCAGGGCCACTCACAAACCATCTCGTTTAAAAACGTGACCCACACGCCAGGACGTCTCAGAGGTGCCAGAGGCGTGGGGGAGGTGGCAGCCTGTGCAATTCGCCCGGGGCCTGGCCTGGATGCCACGCTGGGTGCAGCCAAGGGAACGGGGCAGCTGCTGCGTTAGCGGGTTCTGGGGCCTGGCAGCCACCCGGGGCACTCAGGGAACCGTGTCCCTGTCCTTGGGGGAGCAACAACTGGCGCGAGGGACATGCCCGTCCCGGCCCGCAGCCACAGCCACCGCCGGGCGCAGGAAGAGCGCGGGCCCGCGCGTGGGCACGGCGCTGCGACCGTTAACGACCCACGGCCGCGGAGCCCCGGGGGTAGTAGGGGGTGAGGGACTCTTACCAGATGAGCCGCAGGAAGAGCTCGAAGGCTCCGGGAAACACGAAGTCGTCGCTGCCGATGGCCCAGCGCCGCCCGAACAGCATCAGCCCCGGCATCGTGCGGATCCCCGCGCCCCCGCCACTACCTGCGCTTCACCTGCCACGCGTGACGTCACGGCGTCCTGACGCGCGTGAGCCCCAGGCAGGCCAGGCAAACCGTTTCACGCCCTCCGCGAGCCCGGCGCCTGCGCAGGTCGGGGGTGGCCCCGCCGCCGGGAGCATGCGCACAGCGCACAGGGCGGTGCCTGTCTGAGGGGCGCGGCAGACGGGAGGCGCATGCGGTGGATCGCGGGGCGGGGTAGTACAGCAGCGCATATGCTCCACCCGCAAGAAAACGATACAAACATGTATGCTTGAGAAACTACTGTAATCTTTGACCAGGGAAAAAATATGCGATCGAGAATATTTGACCTGTCAACTTGGCCGGTTTGCTGTCCTTACAGTTCATTACCGTATTCCCAGTTCCTTACTTCCGGTTCTCAGTTCCTTTTTCAAAGCTAATCTTGACACAATTAAAGGTTGTTAATAAATTAGACATGCTGAAGAGTTAGAATTTCATTAGAAATGTATATTTACTAGCAAAAGTTAGTATGTTTCAAGTACATCGTGAATAAAGAGCCAAGATTAGGCAGGGATTATGGGGCAAAATCCTTTTCGGGTCACCCCAAACCACATGTCCCCATTAATTGGGACCACTTCTGAATGGGTCTGAGCAGGGCAGTGCCCAATCCAAAACTGGAGCCTGAAAAACCTCCTTTGGGAGAGTCCCTCAGTGGCAGAGAGTTGAGGTTTGGGGGTAACCCAAGCAGGATTTTGTCTGGAAATCCCAGCCCAATCTCAGCCTTCTACACTGTGCTGTTTGCAGCGCACACAAGCCTGTGTGGCTGTCAGCTGGCTGGCATAAGAAAACCAAGCTTTGGGTTGGGCAGCAGACTCATTCAGCAGCGTGCCTCAGTCAGGAAGATGTGATTTGGGCCGACTGAAAGGGAGTTTTGCCCCATAATCCCACTGCAAAATAAACTCCTTATTTGGCACATCATATTTAGCATGCAGGCTGTGAGGGGTGGGTGTCAGGTACCAGACTAGCAATCAACAACCAAGTATTGGGTTGAACAGGGACCTGGCCCAAGCTTCTTCAGGAGAGTCCTCAGGTGATGAAGAGGTATGTTCTTGGGGTAACCAAAACAAGGTTTTTGTCCCATAATCCCAGCCCCAAATCAGTTTTTTATCCATAAGAACATACAGTCTGGGGGACGGTCAGTTGGCAGGCTGGCATGCAAAAACCTAGCTTCAGGTCAGGCAGCACCTTACCTAGGCTTCTTTGGGGGAGTCTCCCAGTGGCAGATGTATGCCTTGGGGTGGGCACTAAAGGATTTTCACCCATAATCACAGCCCAAACACAGCTCTTTATTCAGGGCATTGTACATGGCACAAGTCTGGTGGTGGTGGTGGTGGTGGGGAAAACAACTGTCAGTTGGCAGGCTGGCGCATGAAAACCAAGCTTCAGGTTGGGCACGGCCCTGCTCAGAATTTTTTGAAAAAGTCCGTAGGTGGTAGAGACATATGGAATGGGGTGACCTGAAAAAGACTGTGCCCCATAATCCCAACCTCATCTCAGGTCCTTATTCAGGGCTCTGTACTTGATACAAGATGCTATTTTATATTTTTATAAGTCAACATACATTTCTGATGAAATTCTAATTGTTTTGTATGTCTGATTCATTAATAATAGCCTTTAACTGTGCAAACAGTTTTGGAAAAGGAACAGGGAATAAGGAACCAACTTTAGCCTCATCACAAACAGGCTAGGCTTATCTGGTACGTGTTGTTCTAGCGTAGCAGAAAGTACCACCAACTCAGACTATTGTGCATTTTTCTTGGAGTTGTCAACACAATTTCAGCTCTCTCATTAAACTACATATATAGCCATCATCCTCACAGCAGAAACCTTTGCAAGACACAAAAAGAATGAATACTAATACAGGATTTTCTCTGTTGCAAAGAACTCAGAAAGATCACAGCAGGTCATATTTTTTCTTTTTTTAACACTATGGATTCTTATTTGAAATTGTTAGGCTTAATCTCATAAATCCTGTCTGCACACTAAACAATGCTAACATTGCATGGCATCCCACAGCAACCCTGAAAGACTCAAGGCATCCCAGTGTGCCATGGCACCCTGGTTAAGAACTATTAGTTTAGGTGCTCCTCCAGGAAAAGGGGTACAGAATCTTAATACAAGAACAAAGATACAGTTTTCACCATTTCATAAAATGTTTATTGAGGATTGTAACACAGGATAAATCATGCATCAGCTCAGTAAAAAGGGAATCATTTAAAGAACATAAAGAATGGGAACTGGTGCTGCTGATTTTGAAACAAACTTATAAAAATCATACTAGTTGTCCAGAAGTGACACATCAATACTCACTTGAAGCTGAACATGGACACTTCTTGTAATTTAAAAGTAAAGTATAAAGTATTAATAAAAAATGTAGACCTTGTTTAAAATGATCATTTACAGTTTCCTGAAGTTCAACCTTAGAGTTGCAATAGTCATTTTAATTAAATGCGTAGGGCTCTACATCCAAGATGTTTAACTGTCTTTTCCAGAAGGAAGAACAGAACAAGAGTGTTTGCTCATCTAAGCCATGAAATCATACCCTTACCTTCTATGACCTTTATTGCCACCAGATACTTTGCAATTGCCTTCAAGACATGAAAAAAAGTAGATGGCACAAATCATGGTGGCCACAAGAGTGGATCTCTGATATCTTTCTAGTGTTAAAAAAGGAGATTGCGGTGGTGGTGGAGGGATAATCTAGCAACTAACAGGAGGAAAAAAGACATTTAACAAGCCATGATTGCCAATTTTAATGGCACTGACACTTTTCATAAAGAACTCCATGTCAGCAGATGGCACAGCATACTGGGAACCACAACTTCACATCAAATACTGGTGGGTTCATGAGTGACAGATATTTGCCTTTCATAAAAATAAATATAGTGGAATGAAAACTGAATCAAAGGGAAAGAGCTATGACTACCATCCAGCAGGCAGTACACATTTATTTGTGTGCATTGAGTGTCAACCAAATCTCAGAGAATCCTTGAAGAAAAAAAGTTTGCACTTATTCCTGGTCATAAACAACCTCACAAAACCTCACTTTTGGAACTAGTCCAATTGAAACTACACGCTGAATTTATTAATACAGTATTAAGTTTCTTTATGTAAAAAATCTTTATACATAGTAATAAAAAAAGGTCAAGGCAAGATGCATCAAACAGAAATCCGCTGGTTGTTCTTCCTCTGTTCTTAGAGCTGCTGATGACCACCTGTGCTAGAAAAGTTGTTTCTGATTTTCTCTCTCAAGCATCTTTGCCTTTGCTTGTGGTAAGGATTGTTCTGTCCAAGCATCCAGAAGAACAGATGCTGGTGATGATTTTTGGCACTTACGCTGGCAAACTGAGCTTCTTTCCCTTGAGTACTGGGGGGTAGGGGGAAGAGAGAAAAGTATAGAAGTTAGTAATACACTAAAGATGTACATAGAAAACTAGAGTTGTGAATTATCCGATACATTTTGCTCCTTCAGAAAAATCACTGTTAAAAGAAAGGGTCTGTAATCAGGTCCTCAACTCTCATCTCTATACCAATAAAGTTCTCTTCAAGCTGAGAGGGAGAGGTTGTTCACCACTGCCCTCTTGCATGCACAAGGGAACTTTGTAACATGAATTTTGCCTGGTGAGCGTATGTTAATTCCATTATGACAAGCATAACCAACATAGCATTCACAATCCCACAGCTTTATGGTGCTACCAAAGGGGGGGGGGGGG